TCTGCCATGCAGGAACTCACACTCAAAGCCCTCCCTGTGACAGATGGCCATCCAGTCTCTGCTTAAAAACCTCCAAAGGAGATTCCACCACTTTCCAAGGCAGCATCTTCCCCTGTTGAATAGCTCTTACTGTCAGGAAGTTCCTCCTAATGTTGAGCTGGAATCTCTTTTCCTGTAGTTTGCATCCATTGCTCATCCATGTCCTATTCTCTGGAGCAGCAGAAAACAAGCTTGCTCCATCTTCAGCATGACATCCCTTCAAATATTTAAACAGGGCAATCATGTTGTCATGTCTTAACCTTCTCCTCCTCTGGCTAAACATACCCAGCTCCCTAAGTCACTCCTCAGAGAGCTTGCTTGGTGGTTTCCAGATCTGCCTCTGCTTGAAATGTGGTGCCCAGAACTGGACACAATATTCCACGTGAGGCTTGACCAAAACAGAATAGAGTAGTACTATTACTTCCTTTGATCTACTAGACACTAAAACTCCTATTGATGCAGCCTAGGATCATATTGGCTTTTTTCGCTGCTGCATCACACTGCAGACATGTCCAGCCTGTGGTCCACAAAGGGGTGAAACAGATGGTGGTAAAGGGCAACTGAACGCCACCCCTTTGAATACCAGATTGGGGCTGCGGCAACTGCATACTGTGGCCCCGATCCAGGATTTTTCCAGGACAAAAAGAAGCAGCAAAGTGCCGCTCCTTTTTGGCCTGGAAAAAAAGGCACCCTTGCTGCTGTCACTGCAGCTTTTCAGCGTTTTGGTGGCACAGTCTATGTAAACTCTGCGCCGCAAAAATGCCGTGACGCCACCCACTGTGCGGTCAGCGGGACAGCATGATGCCGGCTTGGGGATGGCATTGGGGCACGCAGTGTGCATATACCACGTCCTACACCACTCCGAAGCTGACGTTTTTTGCCAGTCTGTTTTGGCCCTAAGACTCCTAGATCCCTTTCACATGCACTGCTGTCAAGCCAGTTGTTCCCCATCCTATATCTCTGCATTTCCTTTCCCCCCCCCCACGTCTAGTCCCTGACATTTCTCCCTGCTGAAATTCATTTTGTTAGTTTTGGCCCAGCTTTCTAATCTATTAAGGTCATTTTGGATTCTCATCCTGTCCTCTGGGATATACCTTCCTAATTTGGTGCCATCTGCAAATTTGATAAGCATGTCCTCTATTCCTTCATCCAAGCCACTGATAAAGATGTTGAATAGCCCTGGGCCCAGGACAGAAACCTGTGGCATCTCAATGGTCACTTCTCTCCAGGATGAAGAAGGGGAGCCATTGGCAAGCATGCTTTAGGTTTGGGTGGTCAACCATTTACAAATCCACCTAACAGTAGCATTGTCTAGCCTGCCTTTTACTAGCTTGTTTGCCAGAATATCATGGAAGATCTTGTTGAAGGTCTTACTAAACTCAAGATATGCTACATCCACAACATTCCCATCATCTACTAAGCTTGCCATTAGTTGAAAATGACTCGAAGGCACACAACAACAACAAAAAGAGATCCTGTTACGGGTTTTCCTGGTAAAATCTGGTCAACTCTGAATGTGACTTGCACAATGTGTTACCCCAAAGTCGAGCCCTCCTTCACCCCTCTTTTTTATGATATCTAGTTGATATTAAAAGAGATGTCTGAGGCACATAGCAGTGAGGGCACCCTCCCCATCCAGGAAAACAGCCATACCATATAGGAGATCCAGGCCCATATTTAGGGATACGGGAGGCTCAGCATGGGGGAACACAAGAGCACAGAGCCAAGAATAGATCGATCAAGATAGTTGTCTGCAGAATCCCTTCATTGATAGAGGGATGGTGGGTGATAGATCTTGTGTTTACAAGTGAGCAGGACTCTCTGGGAGTGAGATACCTTTGTCCAAGGACCTTTGCACTGGTTGTCTAGCCACTCATAACTTCTCTTCCCATTCGTCCCTCCTGGAAACTCCACTTTAATCCCAAATTCTGCCCAAGAACAGGGTTTGCCCTATAAATACACCTGCTTAGGCACCCACAATTCAGTCTCACTTGAGGTCAGATAGACGCTTTGTCCGCATCTTGCTTGACTCCTCAGAATTGCTGGCCACACCACGAACCCCAACAGCTTGTTGAGCCACATCTATTTCACCATGTCCCCTCATTGGAGCCCTGCTTTTGGAATTGGTATAGTATTGCCCCCTGCACCCAATGGCGTCCAAACCTGGGGTGTCATCCGGTGCGAGGAGGCAGGGCTTCCTGGAGCAGGGCCAAAAGCGCACTCCCCCACCTTGCTGCCATGGTCCTTTGGTCTCGGCCATCATAGCAGTCCCCCGCCTTCCAAGTCCTGCGTGGCCATTGCCAAACGGGACCCAGAAGGCAGCCTCCTACCCCACCCCCAGCCTTCCGAGTCCTGCATGGCCATGGCTGCGCAAGTCCTGCATGGCTGCATGGCAGCCACCTCTCCCCTGCCTTCCAATCCAGAAGATAGCCACCTGCTCCCCCTGTGACACCCGGTGTGGTCCGCACCCCCCTAGTAACGCCACTCCTTCAATCTCCTCCTTCAATCTCGCTGTCTGCTACCAACTGCCACAGTTGCCCCTCTGTTTTCGTGGACTCCAAAATCTGCATCCTGTGCCTATCCGTGGGCAGGAAACAGAGGGGGACATAACGGGGCACACGCCATAATGGGGCGTGAATATCTGCAAGTTTCTGGTTTTGTGGGGGGGTGGTCCGGAATGGATCCCCTACGAAAACGGAGGGCCGACTGTATATCATTAGTTCTTGGATGTGTGTGTGAAGAGATTATCAAATGGGGGACAGGAGAGAACCCCATCCTTATCCCATCTTTGACAGTGATTGCACGAAAGACATTCAAACTTTCGCCCTGATCCTGTCATTAAACTGCCAGTAAAGTGGAACTGGAATTAACGCATTCTTCCGTTTATACAAAATGACGGGAAAGGACAGGACAATTCCACTTCAAGGACGGGACAATGACAGGATAAGCGTGACATCACATCAAAGACTTTTGCATGGTTGCAGTCAATCACAGTTTAATGACCGGACACTGATGGGATAAGCGCAATGTCGTATGAAAATCTTTTCACGATTGCACTATAAGGACGGGACAAGGACGGGATATCCCCCGTCTGATAATCTCCCGAGAGTGTGTCTTTGTGTGAATGTAATTAATAAATAAAACTATATTTGGAACTTGCACCCTGGGAAGTGGCCTATATAGGCTTCCTCCATGTTTTGGGTGGCCTGAGCCCTCCCTGCTCTTCTTCATTGAGCTTATGAAATTCCTCTATTATTGAATCCTAACTGTGGCTGCCCTCCCAGGACCCTGGCATTGGGGAGACAAATGTCACCCAGAGCATTGCCTTGGCTGAGCAGAGATTCGAACCCATGTCTCCAGGGTCGGAGTCCAGCGCTTAAACCACTACACCAGGCTGGGCCCCAAAACAGACAACCCTTTATTTGTGGCACGCTTTCTGCTTAAGACAGGGTTGTTGCTGATAGGAAACAGATGTTTCCTACGTTTTCTAGAAATTATACAGAATATCCAAGGCAAGGCGCATTTATCTTTGTGGGGAAGAAAGGGCAGCAACTGAAGCTCTTTGTCTCGCTGCCTCTTTTACTAATAATAAAAATCCAGCCTTCGACCCAGATGGGACTTGAACCCACAATCCCCAGCTCCGGAGGCTGATGCCTTATCCATTAGGCCACTGGGCCCTGCTGGAAAGATCTAGAAATACCACATATATATCTATATATCTGTAAGAATAATCAGGACAGAGGCCAATTTTAGTGCACCAACTGGCTTTTAAAAAGGGGAAAAAAAGGAATGTTGCAACACCTTTAAGGGTGCATCCGCATGCTTTAACTGCCATATCTCCATGCTATGCAATTCTGGGAATTGTAGTTTATTGTGGCACCAGAGCAAAACTCACAACAATTGACAGTTCCCAGAATTCCATAGCAATTAAAATGGTGTCAAACCGCATCATTTTTGCAGTGCAGATGCAGCCTAAATGTTGCAAACTAACTGTTTTTATTTTAAAACAAAATCCAAAATCCACAAAAGTGTGAGACTCCATTATTGGCCAGCCAGAAATGCAGAAAACATATCATGCAAGACTTTCAAAGCTTCCTCAGGCAAAAGATATTAAAATATTGCACAGGAGGAAGAAAAAGTGACAATGTTGGATACATTTTGTAGGGATACTGGCAGCATCCACACTGCAGAAATACTCTAGTGTGATGCCACTTTAACTGTCATGGCTCAATGCTATGGAATTCTGGGAATTTTACTTTGTTATGGCACCAGAGCTCTCTTGAGAGAGAAGACTACCATGTCTCAAAAAACACAGTTCCCAGAATTCCATAGCACTGAGCCATGGCAGTTAAAGTGGTGTCAAATAGGATTATTTTTGCAGTGCTGATGCAGCCATAGTCTCTGCTGTAGTTCAGTTTGTTCAGAGGGATCTTGTCTGAGGCTGAGAGTGTGTGACTTGCCTCAGGTCACCCGGTGGGTTTCCATGGCTGAGCAGGGATTCGAATCCTGGTCTCCAAGAGTCATAGTCCAGTGCTCAAACATACTATACCATGCTAGGTCCTTAGGGTTACCATTAAGTCAGAAGCGACCTAAAGGCACCCGTCAACAACAAAATAATGGTTCAAAATAAGGCATCCTTAGGGGGGGAAATAACATTATGAACTAATGGAGCTAAAATGGAAGAAAATAGATTCTGATGAAACATTAGAAAGACATTCTCGAGAATGAAATGGACTGCCTTGGTCAACCATTTCTCCGTATTTTGTGTATTCCTGTATGGCAGGGGGTCAGATTAGATGACCCTCGTGGTCCCTTCCAATTTTGCAATTCTATGATTTTATGGGAGAAAATGGGGAAAAATGCAGAAGACAGTCCATAGGGGTTCTGTTACAATTGGAGGTATTTTAATAGCAGTTTTCTCTATTTTTACAACTGGTGTTTGTTTTTTTCTTTAATTTAGAGCAAGTGTGGTGTAGTGGGTTGTGCGCTGGGCTTGGACGCTGGAAGTCCAGGGTTCAAATCCCTGCTCAGCCATGGAAACCCACTGGGTGACCTTGGGCAAGTCACATACTCTCAACCCATTTGCTGGTCTATGACTGTAATAAAAAATCTATTCTATCCTATACTCTCAGCCCTAGAAAATCTTGTGATAGGTTCACCTTAAGATCTATATAACTCAGAAAGAATTTGAAGGCGCACAACAACAACTCACCTTGGAGGCCATTTGTTTGAAAGATATAGGACTTGGGAAAAGTTCCTTTTTCTGGACTACAAGGTCACTGCTGGACATGTTCTCCTCGTCTTCATTGACTCCATTGTTCTTTAAATGAAGAGAATTATTCAAAAATTAGTGAAATGACTCTGGTTATGTGATGAAAAAATCCTTGAATATATCCTGAAATAATAAAATATTCAGGGGGGGCAGCTTTGGCTTCAGGGATTTTAAGGGACAAAAGAAAATGCTTTTTTTAAAAAAATATTATTTACATTTAAAAATTGCAGCATAAAAGTAGGGGGTGGGGAGAGAAACAGGAATCTTGCAACACCTTTAAGGTTAATTTTAGGATGTGTTTTCCTGTATTGAAATCCACTTCCACAACATTTTGCACTAAAAAAGATTTGCAAGTCTGAAAGTTTAAATGAAATGCACTTGAAGTGCAAGCATAAGGAGCAACTCTGCCATCTAATGGTCACTTTCAGCCATTGCAACTTCAAAGTCATTTTAATCAGGCTCTATATTTCATTAAATTTTGCAAAGGGATCAGGCACCAGGGACCACATTGCAAACATATGATGGCTAATGGAGTGCAC